CTATACTATACTATACTATACTATACTATACTATACTATACTATACTGTACTATACTATAGCTCTATAGAAATCCTTATGAATGAGAAATCAAGATTAAATCAGTCTGCAATGCAAGAAGATACCAGCTGCTGTCTGGATGACACAGATTTGTTCACACTCTTACCGCTCCGCGACAAAAATCCAGTCCAGGATTGTCCAATAAGGTGCGCTCACTCTCCCCATTCTCTCCAATCAGGGTCACAAATATGTAGTTGTTGGTGCCAGAATATTCAGATGTCCCAGTTGCCACTGTGACAGTGTACACTTCCATCTAAGGATATGTACAAACACATGTTAATGAGTGTTATCAACTGGCATGCATTTTAGTTACTTTAAGACATAAAAAGGTGTGCTGTTTGATTTTATTTATGCATAAGAGGCCAACACAAGAACCATTATGGGTTGGTGATTTAAAATTCAAAGAAAATAAGCAAATTTTCCATTGCTGTTGTTTCACTGAACTCTGATTTTTTTATTTCATTTTGTATATGCTCACTAGTCTCTTGCCTCTCTGCTCTTTATGAACACCTAACAACCTTGGCTGGTTGCTGGTTTTTTCTACAATCAAGGAAGTCGTCGGCAGCAAATTTGGACCCGATCATGCTGCTTGCCTTTATGATGGCTTGGTTCGTGTCTCGAGTACCCAGACTCAAATGCTTTGGGCTGAATGGATCAGATCTTGGGGATTTTACTCAGTCACGTTCCATCGGTGTGGCCATGTATTTTGGACATTTCGGAACCGAGTCGACCAACACAGACTAAAGGTAGATGTTATTAAGTCCTGCCTGTCCCCAAAACAACTATGTGTTTATCTAAGTTGGCTCCCCTTGGCTGGCCTTGAAGGCCACCTTATCTGAATTCACCTGGAGTACATGTGATCAGACGCTCACCACCCCCTCCCTGAGGAATTTCCAACTGATAACCAGATAAAACCAGCTGAATAAACTTTTGTGTCATCATTTCAGGACTCTTGGATTCTCATAGACGTTATTCTTGGCCATTCCTCGACATACCTCGAGAATGTTTATGGATCTCACCGGAGGACCTTGACTGATTTTCCATCCTTATCAGAACTCTTACAGTGACCTCGAGAGAGAGTATCTATGAACATGCTGACCACTCTCGCCCCCCCCCCCCTCCTCTGCAGAATGTCTATGTCACTATGTGCTTGTTTGTGTGAGGTGTTTTTTTTAATATTAGAGGTTTTTTTTCTAAGGTAGGAAAAAAAAGTCTGATAGAAATTTTTTTCGCCTCCAACTCCTACATGTGTCCAGTTAACCACTGTTTTTGTTTGTCCAAACAGGTCTCACTTGTAAATGAGTCGTCGGGGCTCAATGTGATTTATCAGTTTAAATAAAGGTTGAATGAATGAACAATGAACATCACATAACCTATGGACCGACTGATAATGGAAGGAAACCACCCAGAGTAGTTGATCCATAACTGGGCCATATTGATCATGAAAGACCCCTACAGAAAGGGGCAATCCCATCCAACCAACGACCGCTCACCTGCCTCTGGACAACATGGAAGCTCCCATCAGGCATCATAGCTGCTAATATAGGTGTGCCATCGGTCAAGTGCCAGCTCAACTAGATTGAGTCTTAGTCTCAAGCTATGACTGAACCATAGCTCGAGACTGTAAAACCAAAAACCGCAAACCTGTGTACGACCTGGATTGATTACAGGAAAGCTTAAGTTACTCAATGCCACACATGGATACAGAAATGCTTAAAACTATACAACATCATCAGGACACTTTTAAGAGCCTTCATCAAGAACTCATTGAAGAGCCTTCATGAAGAACTCATTGAGCATGTGGAAGAGCTGCTGCTTTTCTCACAGAGCTAATGCAGCGGTTATCTTGATATAGTAAAAAAATGTAATTATCATGGTCTTAATGCTACAATGCCATAATTATCCAGTCTTGTATCTCCAGAGTGTGAGTTGCTGCCACGTCAGCCCTTTTGATTTATTATTATTAAATATCTATATTTTTGTTTCTCCTGTGGTTTTGAGTCTTGTCTGCACCATTGGGTTCCTGCCTGATAAAATCCTGACAGTATGACGCGACCAACAATGAACCCAGCAGACAAGCATTTTCTGTCCAGATTATCTGATGAAGACTTTCATCAGCTCTGCAACACAAGCCAGAGGTTTGTGGACACTGCCACTTCCTGCAATCTGTGGGAGAGATGGGGAGCCACGAAAAAACATGCTGGACGAATATATCCGTCTACCTGGACTGATTGACGCTCCTGGAATCGAGGACTTCTTGGACGAGGTGCTGGAAGAAAAGCAATGGTTGGAGCCACTCATTCAACCAGCTGCTAATCCTAATCCTCCACCCAAACATCACTCCTCTGTTTTCAAACCAGTCCCAGACTCCATGATCCTGACACCTGAGATCCTCGCAGCTGGAGCCCCTGTGGTCGCTCCCATGCCTACTGCAGTCTCCGTAGTTTCCCCATCTCCTGCAGCCTCTGCATTACACACGCAGTACGAGGATGCAGCCAGTTCCGAAACCACAGACCCGGACCCACCAGAAGGGTTCCAGAGACTCGGTCCCAGTTCCTGTGCCTGCAGTCAGCCCTGAGCCTGCAGCCATTACTGAGCCTGCTGTAGGACCCATGCTACCTCCCGAGGGTTCTGCACCGTCCACGTCTGATCCTGTTCCTGCCGCTGAAGATCCTGCCGCCGAAGATCTGGCCACAGAAGATCTCACCCCAGATGATCCGGCCACAGAAGATCCTGCTGACCTCCTTGCTGCTGACTCATCTGCTGAGCTCCTCGCCGCTGACCTGCTGAGCTCCTCATCGCTGAGCTCCTCGTCACGGACCTGCCTGCTGAGTTCCTCGCCACTGATCTGCCTGCTGAGGCCCTTGCTCCTGGTCCGTCCGCTGAGGTCCTCGCTCCTGCTCTGCTCTCTGAGGTCCTCGTTCCTGCTCCGCCCGATCTGTTTCCTACTTGAAGAATGGCCTACTGGATGACCTCTCGGCCACCTGCCTGATTGGCCCCGGCCTGATGAATGGTCTCCTGGCCACCTGTCTGTCTTGTTCCTACCTGAAGCACGGCCAATCGGACGACTTCTCGACTGCCTGCCTGACCGGCCCCAGCCTGAGGAATGGTCTCCTGGCTGCCTGTCTGTCCTGTTCCTGCCTGAAGAATGGCCCATTGGACAATCTCTCGACTGCCAGCCTGACCGGCCCCGGCCTGATGAATGGTCTCCCGGCCACCTGTCTGTCCTGTTCCTGCCTCAAGAATGGTCCATTGGATGAGCTCTCGACCACCTGCCTGACCGGCCCCGGCCTGATGAATGGTCTCCTGGCCACCTATCTGTCCTGTTCCTGCCTGAAGAATGGCCCGTGGGATGACCTCTCAGCCGCCTGATTGACTGGCCCCGGCTTGATGAACAGTCTCTCGGCCGCCCGCCTGATCTGTTCTGGCCTGATGGTCAGCCTCCCGGCCACCCGCCTGACCTGTTCTGGCTTGATGGTTGGCCTCCCGGCCGCCTGGCTAACCTGTTCTGGCCTGATAGTTAGCCTCCCGGCCACCCGCCTGACCTGTTCTGGCCTGATGGTCGGCCTCCCGGCCACCCGCCTGACTCGTTCCAGCCTGATGGACAGCCTTCTGTACGGTACAGTGACCATACTTGGGACGGTTTCCTGACTGCCCAGACCTTTTTGTGTTCCCTGTTCATGTTTAGTTTAGTTCCCAGGCTTTGGTTTTTGTCCTCATGTTTTTCCTTGGGCCCTCCATCCTTGCAGTTCCTCCCTCCACCCATCCAAGTCTGTTCGGGGAAGGGGGTTTGGAGATGCCAGGGTGCATCCTTGGGGGGATTACTGTAAGTATGGTGAACATCTTGTGGGCCTTCCTTGTCTGTGCGCCCTTGTGTGTCTCCTTTTTCCTGATTATTTGCACTTTCTGTTCTCAGCTGTTTGTAATCATGTCCTGTCTTGTCTGTGTATTTAAGCCTATCTGTGAGTCTTGTCCTTTGTCGCATCATTGTTGGGTCTACCCTGTCCTGTCCTGATGTGTTCCAGTCTTGTATCTCCAGAGTGTGAGTTGCTGCCACATTAGCCCTTTTGATTTATCGTTATTAAATATCTATATTTTTGTATCTCCTACAGTCTTGAGTCTTGTCTGCACTATTGGGTTCACTCCTGCCTGATAAAATCCTGACAGTTCCTGGTTTATCAACATACAAAGAAGACGGCCGCAACTAATCTGGCCTGGTCAGGCTGCCGCCTATGTGAAGGTTTGTTCCATGTCTCATAAACCCATACTCTATTGCTAAGCGGACTGGACCCACGGGCAAGATGGATCAAATCTTGGGGAATATTCTCAGGCACGGATCAGTGGTGTTTCCACTTAATTTGGGCCTTTCAGAATCTACGTGAGAACAGCAAAGACTCAAGGCAGATAAAAATTAAAGTTCTACTTACAAACGTTATTTATCAGAATTTGGCTCCCTTGGCTGGCCTTGCAGGCCACCTTATCTTCACCTGGAGGACATTCAATCTGACAATCTGCCGCGCCCCCCCCCCCCCCCCCCTTCGAGGAATTCCACTGATTAACCTGAGAACACCAGCTGAATAAACATTGTGTCATCATTTCAGGACTCTCTGGATTCTCATTGCGTTGTCCTTGGTCATTCCCTGACATCCCTCAAGAATGTTTACAGAGCTCATCGGAGGGAACTGGCCTATAGTGCCCCATAGAGTGTCCTTGAACATCCTCGCCACTCTCGTCGTCTCCCCCGTCTACATGTGCTTGTATGTGCAAGGTGTTTTTTCAATATTAGAGTCTTTCTTCTCAGCCAAGAAGAAAGAGTTTGACAGGATTTTTTTTTTGACTCCAATTCCTACATGTGTCTAGTTTCACAACATTTTTTGTCTGTCTAAACAGATCTCACTTGTAAAAGAGTCTTCGAGGCTCAATGTGACTTATCTGTTTAAATAAAGGTTGAATTGAATTATTTCAGATCTTTTATAGCACTGAGTTTCCTTTAGGATGGACCTGTGTTCTTCTATCTTTGTCTTACCAGAAGATGCAAGGGCTACAGTCAGAGCCATGCAAATTAAAAACACATAATCCCATATTCATTCAGAGATGAGACCAGAGGGGGCGATTTGAATAGCTTCACTAATAAAATAAGTAAACCACATTCATGCAAACAAGCTGCAAAATAAACAGAAAAGCTCATTCAAGAGATAAAGCTCCTCTGAGGTCTGTAGACCAGGAACTGAGACCTGGCTAAATTAGATTTAGCTACAATTTTGCATTTTTTTAACCTACTATTTGGCTAAATTCAGCTTTTAGCTAAAATGACACTCATTTTAGCTGCTTTTTTATTACTTCTGGTTTTTATCTGGGGTTTACTCATTTTATTTTCAGTTACTGCACTGCTTACTTAAATTTTAGATATTCTTTACTCATTTTAGCTTTTCACTATTTTGGTCACTTTAGCTTGTGCTCTGCTTGTTTTAACTTATATTCTGTTTGTTTTTTTAAATAATTTAATTTCAGCATTTAAAACAAATTTGAGTAGTTGTTCAGCTCTTAGCACAGCATTTTCCCAGAAAATGTTTTTTTTCCCCTTATTATGGTATATGCAACTTTCACAACGGTTAAAGGGTTGTAAGCTCAATCATCCAGGTAGATATCAACAAAAAGGTTAAATCATGTCATCTGAACCAGTTTCTTTAAGTGAGAAACTTTCCATCCCCCATCCAGAGGACTTCATCAGTCTGCGGCCTGCCAACCAGATCTGTCCCTCCTGCTGGAATCTCAAAAGTAGGCTTTTAATTCATGCAAAAACAATCAATCATCATGTACAACAATTAAATGTTTTAGGCCAGATAACCAACTTGCTACTCACAGAAACAGGAGGTTTTGATCAATTTAGGGTTGGCTTGGGTTTCCTGACCAATCCCTTAGTTATGCTGCTATAGGCTTTGACTGCTGGATGACAAATTGACCCCATTTCATCAAATGAATACAATGAATACAAATGAATCATTTGTATTTGTAATTGTTTCTATCTTAACTTGTGTTTTTCTTTTTATTGTTCCTTCTAGTGAGGACCTACTCGCCTCCATTCTGGAGTGGACCTGTCTCTCCTTCCTGTTCCTCTCAGACCCAGTCGGTCGAAGCAGTTGGCCGCTCATCCTGAGCCTGGTTCTGCTGGAGGTTTCTTCCTGTTAAAAAGGAGTTTTCCTTTCCACTGTTCCCTCTGTGCTTGCTCAGGATGGGAGACTGTCTCAAGACTGTCTCACCAACAGACTCGTTGAGTCTTCACATCATCATTGCAGACTCATCGAGTCTGCTGGCTTCCTTCCTTCCTTGGAGAACTTTTACCAATTTGTATTTATAATGTATGTGAATGTTTCTGTTCAGTGCCCTCATATAACTTCTGTTGTGACTTGATGCTATATAAATAAACTGAATTGAATTGAATTTGTAAAGCAAACAGTTTTTTTTTTCCTGCTGCTGTATACTTCCAGAACAAAGTCAGCTGAAGCACGCTGAGTGTTAGAGAACAGTT